ACCCACAGGTGAACGAGACCTGGTGGTTGTGCGAATGCTACATGGCCACGTGCAAGTACAACAACACGGTGGAGATCGAGAAGGTGGAGTGTAACCCCCCGCCCAAGCCCACGTGCTCCAACGGCCTGCCGCCGGTGCGCGTGGAGGACCCTGACCACTGCTGCTGGCACTGGGAGTGCGACTGTAAGCCCACGGCCCCTCCCCCGCGGGCCCCCACCCCTCCCCCAGGGGGCGCAGGCCCCTCGGGCCCACCAGCCCTCCCCTGGGGGCGCAGGCCCCTCCTCCAGGGGGCGCAGGCCCCGTGGGCCCACCTGCCCCTCTCCCCCTCCCCCGGGGGCGCAGGCCCCGCGGGCCCACCTGCCCCTCCCCCAGGGGGCGCAGACCGCCATCTGGGAGCAGAAGGCCCCCAGGTTCCTTGGGTACAGACCCAGTGGCGGGGCTCCTGTGGAGGGCTGAGCCCATGGACCAGGGGCTTCGTGTCCTCCCCGGCTCCCCCAGACCCCGCCTGGCTGACAGGGCGGGCGCCTCCCCAGGCTGAGGGGCCTCTGAGGCTGGATGGTCCCCTCTGGGCCTCAAGCTCGGGCCCTGAAGGCCCAGGGCCAGGCCCTGGCTTGCAGAAGGGGCTGCTGGGCGCTGAATGGGAAGACAGTTCGGGGCCAGGCCCGCTCCAGCCCAGAAGCTGCCTCTCCCAACAGGAGCTGGGCTTCGCTGCCTGCTCCGTTCCCACCAGTTCTTCCAGCCTGTCTGACTCCTGAGCTGAGCTGCTCAGTCCCTGCCATGCCCCCAGATTGGCACCAGCCCCCCGGCCCGCTCTCCGGTCCCTGCCGCACCCGATTGGCACCACCTCGCTGGCCTCTCCACAGGTTACTGCACCGGCTGGGGTGACCCGCACTACATGACCTTCGACGGCTTGTACTACAGCTACCAGGGCAACTGCACCTACGTGCTGGTGGAGGAGATCTCCCCCACCGTGGACAACTTCGGGGTGTACATCGACAACTACCACTGCGACATCAACGACAAGGTGTCCTGTCCCCGCACGCTCATTGTGAGGCACGAGACCCAGGAGGTGCTCATCAAGACCACGCAGATGACGCCCATAAAGATGCAGGTACGTGGGGGCCGCAGGGCCCGCGGGCTCGCCCTGGGGTGTGCCGGAGCCGTGGCCCCGGGCCCCGGGCCGCGGAGGACCAGGCCGGGCCCCGTCCAGCCCTACCTCCCGCGTTAGGCCCCAGCTTCGCTGGGCTCCCCGCCGTGGCGGGCAGCCCCAGGTGCCCGTGAGAGGCCCGAGTGCGGCCGGGCACCAGCGCCCGCCCAGGGGCCTCCCTGACCCGGGGTGTCGCTGCAGGTGCAGGTCAACAAGCAGGCCGTGGCGTTGCCCTTCAAGAAGTACGGGGTGCAGGTGTACGAGTCCGGCATCAACTTCATGGTGAACATCTCCAGGCTGGGCGCGCTCATCTCCTACAATGGCCTGTCCTTCTCCATCAGGCTGCCCTACCAGCTGTTTGGCAACAACACCAAGGGCCAGTGCGGTGAGCCCCGGGGCCCCGGGGCCCCTCTTCCGGTACCCGCACTAGAAGGGTGGGGCTAGGCGTGAGCCCCGGCCGGCCCGGCCCCGAGCCGCCCTCTCCTCCGTGGTGGCGTTGGCCCCTGAGGTTTCCCGGCCTCTGTCCTCAGCCAGGCTCCTGGCTGAAGAAGGAGCGGGGCCGGAGCATGTCCAGGCCGGGGCGGACAGGACTGACCCTCCTCCCCACACGCAGGTACCTGCACCAACAACACTGCGGACGACTGCATGCTGCCCAGTGGAGAGGTCATCTCCGACTGCGAGCTGGCCGCCGACCAGTGGGTGGTGAACGACCCCTCCAAGCCACACTGTCCCCACGCGGGCTCCACCACCGAGCGCCCGTCCACCACCACTTCAGGACTCAAAACGCCCCGGCCCAAGGACTGCCCCGGCTCTCCGCTCTGCCAGCTCATCAAGGACAGGTGACCGCTGGGTCTGCCAGCACGCCTCCGGGCACGGGACAGCTGCGGACCTCACCCCTACCCTGCCCCACGTCCTGAGCCTCCCCCTCCCCCTCCCCTGCCCCTTGTCCTGAGCCTCCCCTTCCCCACCCCCTCCCCTGCCCCGCCCCGTGTCCTGAGCCTCCCCCTCCCCCTCCCCTGCCCTATGTCCTGAGCCTCCGGAGCTCTCGCACAGCGGGAGGAGGTGTGGGGCGTGCAGGGTGTGGGAGAGGCGGG